GCAGAACGGTCCAGAGACCTCCAAGTGGCTGTGTGCACACAGGAGTCACGTGCCGCTCCATGCCATGCACTCTGGGCCACTGCTCTGACTTCCCCAGGGTTATGGAACCTTCGGTGTGACCACCTGCCTATGCAATTACCTTTGGAAAGACAAGAGCACACTTGGCATTAGCCCAAAACCTCAGGAGCAGAGCCTATGGTGCGGCCAAGTGTCCTTATGCATCCTCTGTTCTAACCAAGAACACTTCTTCGCAGCAGATTAAAGACCACGCGGCCAAGATCCGCACCTGTGTCCTCTCTTAGGCTATAGAACTCCCCACTGATGGTGCAGTGACGCCATCATCCTTTCACTTATGCACTGCAACGCACAGCCCCCAGGGCATCCATCAAAACCTGCTCTGACCACACGTGGGAGCATGATGGGCTCCTGAGCGCTCCCTGCACTGCAGGATAAACACAGACCCTGCCGTGAAGCCTTGTGGAAGCTGGACCATTCAGGATGCAGAATGAGGAGCAGCCCTCCTGTGACCGTCCCGCATGCCACCCATCCAGTAACCCTGCTCTTTACCCTGCCCTAGTATGCTTTCCCCTCACAAGCTTTCTCCTTACACTGCCTGCTTTCCGTGCCATGCCTTCTGGGGTCCCAAGACCCCTTACTAAGTCTTAGTCATCCTTCAAGGGTCACTGAGTGCTCTCCTCAGCAGCCGCTCCTAACCCTCACTAAGCTGCCTGATCTTCTGAGAGTTCCTTATGGTTTCTACTGCAAAAGAGCTGTCTTCTGGTACCATAGTTATTTTACCTAGTTCCCCACAAGACTGAATCACAGATGGGCTTATGGGCTGCTGGAACAGGCACCGACCTTATCTCGTGGTACTTTCTATGCTTCTGAAAGGCTCCCTTCTTTCAGTCACATTTGTTAAAGGTTGAGCAATGAGTATACATTCCTCACTGATGTACGAAAGTCACACACACAGGCGCATGCACCTATACCCGTAGCAGCTCAAGGCCTCAGAACAAGGCCTAGGAACCTTCCTTTGGTCCAGTACACCCTCCTTGGGCCACTATCTTTCCCCTAGCTCAGTGACAGTGACTAGGCTACCATGAGCTCTCCACAGTGTCCCCTCATCTCCTGTGTCTCCCATCCACCCTCAGCCTGCATGTCCCTGTAGTATTCATCACCATACTCTAGCTGCTGGTCTGATTTTTCCTACTTAATGCTCTATAAAGGCAAAAACAAAAGCCTCGATCTGTTTAGGATTACACTCAGTATTCAATGCATAAATAACATAACAGGAGTGGGTAGATTCAGAAACAGGGAAGTAGCCATTGGAGCACACTGACAGGTGATCTATACCATTCTTCTGCAGGTGTCTCTAGAAGAAGTCTGTGTCTATGCTGACTGCAGAAGCACTGAGGCCCAGGAGGAATCTCTGGCAAGCCTGAGACCCTAGTCACCCAGCCTGGAGTGCAGAGGGGTCTCACTGTGCAAAGTGCTGCTGACTCCCGGCAACAGCTGAGGGGTATATGGGACAGGTTGCTCACCAACTCCAAACCTAATTCCAGAAAACCTTCCGCTCATCACATAGTCCAGAGGGAGAGGACTCCATGACTAGAGCAAGTTCAGAACTTTCAGCCCAGATGACCCAGGCAAGTGAAAAGCTAAGAAGCAGAAGCTGTTCCCCCAGTCATTTCAATGTAGAAAACACTGCCAGGACCCCGGCAGTTATACAAACTATACAAATGGGTGCAGACTTACTCCAGATACATTAGGCAGATTTAAAGGAAGGGGAGGGTTCAGAGAGAGCTGCCAAGACAAGTTCGGAGGACAGTTCAGAGTCTGAGAACGAGGACGGCAGTGTGTCCTGTGAAGTCCCCATGGATAACATTAAGTTCCTACTTCAGAAGGTGGAAAGGCAAGATTAGAGTTTTACACAGTCCAGCAAATAAAACAAAGCAGAGAGAAAGGAATGCAGTTCTGAGTGTCTCCCATTTCTGGCACCTACAGTGTTTTTTCTTTCTTTCGTTTTTTTTTTTTTTTGGTGCCAGGGATCAGACTCATGACCTTGTGCATCCCAGACATGCACATGAGCTGCTAAGCTAAATCCCTGGCAACCTACCGTGTTCTTCTGTGCTAAAAGAAAACCTCTATACAAATCTAACAGTTTGAGCAAAGAACAGTTCATGAATTGGGCAGCACTCAAAATGGAAAGGATCTCAGAGAGCTTCACTGTGTACTGTGGGCAGCAGGCTTTGCAGCTGAACACGGAAGTAAAGTACAGAAGTAACTCGGCTCGTTATGGTGAGGCTGACTTGTCTGCACATAGCGTCACCCTCTGTGGGCCTGGGACTGGCTGAAGCACAGCTGCTTGTGTCTGGCTGGAACCCAGATACTTGTTAGCAAAATACACTCCCCTATTTTATCTGTTAAAGATTTTCCTTATGAGTCATTATGCACCAAGATCATACTTCCTTCTCCAATTTTGCACAATAGATGGACTCTACTTAACAAAGTCATTTCCACATAACTAGAAAGTTTTCAATGTTTCACCACAAGAAATGATCAATGCTTGCAGGGATAGGTATGTTAATTATCCTGACTTAATCATTACACAATATTCACAGGCATCAAAACAATACATTGTACTCATAAGCGTGTACAATTATGCCATCCACGTAAATAAATAAAAAGAAAAATATACCCTAAAAAACGATTCTATGATTGTAACAAATTGTAATCAAAAGGCTCAAGTTCTTGAGGTAAACTTCTAAATACTTAAAATTTTCTTCATTAAATTCCACTTTCTTTTCTTTCTTTTGGAGGATGACTGTGGCACTTTACTGGGTTTTTTTCAGGTGAAACAATGACCGTTTGCTTCCCCTTCTACAGCGTGGGTGCTGTGTTGTGCAGCCACAGCCCTTCCCTGCAGGGACTTCTTCACTGGCTTCATTTCCCTGTTCAATATCACCCTCTTGCTCGGAGCACCATGCCTTCCGTCCAGCTGACATCCACAAAGCAAATCCACCAAGGCAAGTACAGGGGCCTGCGGCAGAACCATCTGCAGTCAGCTCAGCGTGGTCGCTGAGGCCCCAAGGCCAGCGCTACCAGCTTGCTCTGAAGGAATTGAGTGCGTGCACATTGGGCTCTCATTCCTTGCGAATTAGATCACTGAGAAACACTAAGCCTGTCCAGAAAACCCTGGCACGACCTGGTACACTCAAAACATTGGTTATTTGCCCATGGTTTTAGGGCTTCGTAGCTTTTCAAAAGGAGGGTTCAGCTTCAGAATGGAGAATATTTTATTTCATCTCACCATGTCATTTATGACTCAAAAACATCAATTCTATGACCACATCATTTTAGAATGAACTATTTACACAGTTTGATTCAAAATGGAAAAAGTGGGCCTGGGGATTTAGCTCAGTGGCATAAGCGCCTACCTTGCAAGCAGGCAGTCGTGAGTTCGATCCCTGGTACCGATAAAAACGAAAACCACACACACAAAAAAAAAAAAAATGGAAAAAGTCTATAAGGGACTGGGCAGCTCAGTACTGTCAGGGCAGACCTTCTAGAACAAGGCTCTGATCAAGTGGATTTGAAAATTAGAACACACTCCAGAGGACTCTCTTTCCACTCTACCTCTCTTCCCTTTTCTCTCATCTCTTTCTTCTCTAAAAGATTAAAGCTAAAATATCTCAACAATGTGCAAACCCTCCTAAAGATGAAAAGCATTTGTCATTTAAGCCTTTCTGGAGCTGGTTCATTAATTAAAGAAACTCGCTACATCCACATGGTGCATTGCTACTCTTGATGAAAAGAAAACAAGTGGACAGGCCTGGGTAAACCTGGGCTGTACTGAGCATCTCTGCAGGTGCGATGGTGTACTAACTGCCCACCGCACCTGCACACAGCTCCCAGAGCAGCAGAAAGCAGTGTGAATGCAGGTCGCAGTGGCCTCTACCACAGAGACAGGTAATGGCTGAGAGGGGGACGCACAAGCTTTCCAGGTGATAGGCATGCTCTCCCGGAGACTGAGGAGCGGCTTACACAAGGGGACAGCTTTGTGCACACTGAACAAACTGTATGTTTATAATCTGTGCATTTCCCTGTAAGTTATACTCATATTGGAAGGAGAACTCTCTCATCAGGTCATTACAAAGCTTTATGAAATAATCTGTGATGTCTACAAAATCATACGTTATTTACAAGCCACCTTTCCCTGCTTCCCTGCAGCGGATGTGACTAACTCACCTGGGGAACAACGCTGCTGAAGAAACACCTATGAGAGACACCATGGGCTGGCAGGGAGAAGGTGCACAGTGATGAAGATTTCTCTACTGGTTTTCAACTTACTAGATCGAAAAATGTTCACAAAAAATACTTTTACAGTCCCGTGCTACAGATGATGGTTTCATCCTCTATGGAAGGAACTGTCACTTCTGCCTGATCTCAGCATATCACACAGTCACCGCAACTGTAGACAGAAGCAGTGATTGCAGTGGGCTGGGGGTTTAGCTCAGTGTCATAAGTGCCTGCTTGGCAAACATCAGGTTGGGAGTTCAATCCCCGGTACCACCCCCGCCCCCAAAAAAAGAAGCAGAGATCTTGGCTGGAAAAAGCCAGGACAGCCAGCTTGACACTCCCCTCCGTAAGGGTGGGCCATGACCACCACGCAAGGGGAGGACTCCTGTAGGCAGTGTCCGTATCAGTGGACCTCCTTGGGAGGTACAACAGAAACTGCTAACGATAAAGCTTTTTCCTAAACTGTAACTCAAGCAGAGTGCAGACAGGAAAAGTGCCTGGAGACTTAGGATAAACGGATGAATTAGACTCATTTATCTGCATCTTAGCAGGCTTCACGCAGCCCACAGTGTGTATTCTCACTTGTTTCCCTCCCTGACCCGTCCAAACTCTCCTCCTTCTAGGGAAGTAAAGGCAGGTGGTGGCACCCGTGGTCCTGCACTTGGGGATCGGGGACGCGAGGTAGGGCCTCCCACACTCACCTGAGGCCAGCTATGTGCTGTGGTGCCTGCTGGTGCTGGAAATGGTCAGGCCAGGGGTGGTGCAGGCAGAAGGATGGTGAGGGCTGCGGGCAGCATGCGGCCTGGTACACGGGCAAATGGTTTGCACACAGAGATGCAGAGTACTCTGAGGGCAGCTGCATGCAACATGAGGCCAAAGCAGAGGGCACTGCTGGGCTGGCCTCGGGGTGGCACTCAGGGTGGCTGTGGCGGCCACTCAACGGGTGATGGTATGGGCAAGGATGGCAGCGCTGGGCGAGCATCTGGGGCACTCTCTGGTTGTCTAAAGGCAGGAAGGATGACTTCACAGTGCCGTTGCGGTGCAGGCAGCCATTGGGACTCACTTTGGTGTGCGCTGCGTCTGTGGGTAGGCACTGAGGGGTGGTGGGGTCTCCCTCACAGGGCGGCGGGGTGCTCCGGCTGGTAATGCCAGTCGTGACGCTGCCATTGCTCAGAAACACAAAATCAGGGTTCCCGTGGCTCAGGGCCATGCTCCAGTCTCTTGCCCCTAAGGGAGAAGACAACATGACATGTGGTTACAAGCAGGCAGGAAAATATAAGAAAGATGAGTGAGGTGTCCACCAAGCCAGCGGGGCTTCTCTTCCTCCCTCAGCCGCTTCTGGCCGCCTCTCCTGTGCATTCTGCACACCCTGCCCACCCCAACTGCAGGAGCACAACTCAGGAAGGAAGGGTGAGGGCACCAGCATCCCCTACCATCTCACCAGCACTCCCGCCTTAAGGTTTTGATTTGGAGGTAATGATCAGAATGAAGGGTCACCCCAAGATAACTGGCTGTTCAAGTCAAATCATGCATGAAATCTTAAGAATGCTTTATCTCTCACAGGGTATGGTGAAGCATGCCTATAATCTCAGTACTCAGGAAGCTGAGACAGGAAGATCACCGTGACTTTGAGACCAGCCTGAACTACACAGTGAGTCATTGTCTCAAAAAAAGAGAATGCTTTATGTCTCATAAAAGTCCCAAGAACGTAAGATTTTTTTTCTCTAAATCACTCAAGGACCATAATAACAACAACAACAACAACAACAAAACATAACAAAAAGAGAATAAAAACTAGTTACCTAAGAACTGTTGCAAGCAAAATATGCAAGTTTTATTCTGTGCATCAAATAATACTAAAAGTTTTAAAAAACACGCTCTATAAAATATCTAAATGTTTATTAACTTGTTTTTGATGTTACATACATTAGGTAACAGTGCTTGCTCATAAAGCAAAGTAACACAGGGGAGGTATTTTTCCTTACATTTCCCTCTCACCAAAGGAGCCAGCCATTCAAGATTACACGCTTGAATTACCTGTACCACGTTTGTCCAGCAAAACAAACAAACAAGAACCCAGACATGCACCTCCCTCTCTGCCACCTCTGAGCAATGCACTCACAGAAATCTCGGGACCCACAGGAAGAAACGTGGTCCCCAGACAGTGCCAGTCTACTTAGCCCACACTGGAATGCCAGCAAGAAGGAAAGAAACCCGTGCTCGCTCACCTGGAGAGACCTAATGTCCCCAGCTAGGTGGACAGGAGTTCGGGGCAGAGATTCCCTCTCCCCGGGGAGAGCACCCAGGGCAGACCCACACCTGTCGCAGCACCAGGCAGCAGGGAGCAAAGCACAGGGGAGAGCGCCTGCCCTCCACACTGGCACCATGGGAGACTTGTCCCTCGGGTGCGGAGTCAGCGTTATTTACACCTCAGATAAATCTTCTCAAACTCACACAAGGTTAAATAAACCTCATATAAAAAGAAGTGGAAAATGAATGTCCGCATGTACAATTCCTTCACAGGCCAGACACAGTGGTAGTATATGCCTACAGTTCCAACCACTTGGGAGATTGAGGCAGGAGGGTCTCCTGAGCACGTGAGTTTCAGACTAGCCTAGCAACAGAGACCTCTGTCTCAAAAACAAAAGACAAAAACAAAAATTTGCCTTTATAAATTGTTTAATTAGAAAGGCAAAATATATAAAAATCTCAAAATACACACGAAGCCCAGTAGACGTCTCTTTAGTCTCTTTAGTCCAGCGGTCATGCTGACCGTGGTTCACCCACCCCAAAACTCCTTCTGCGACCACTGAGAAGCACTGTGAGTTGCGGTGCACAGCACCCTCTTCTTGGTAAAGTCCCCCTGAGTGCAAGACACCCCCAGCATGTCCCACAAAAGCCCGAGGACAGTATGTTTCAGACAAGAGTGTGCCAACTTCCTACAGCTTTCAAAGTGCCCGGAGTTCCCCACACCTGTAGTGGGGGCCTATGGCACACAGGCCACCAGGACTATGCGCCATCGAAAGCTCTCCAAGGTTTGCCATTCCTGCCCTGGACTCCGCAGTCTTCATCCCTCCTCGCTTCTTATTAAATATGCTGTCCTCAGGAAAATCAATGCTCCTCTTTCTTTGTGACCAGAATTTCACTCCCATGACATTTCATTCTCCTGCAAATGCATCACTTTACAGTTCCGTAAGAGTTAAACAGACCCTTGGAGGCCAGCCAAGTGACTTAATCACTATTTATAACGTTGTCTTTCCACCGTGGTAAAATGTCCCTTGAACTGCCAAATAACTGACTTATGCGTGCATTTCTGGAACACAACCTGTTTTGTAACTTGGAAACTTTGTGTAATGAAAAAAACTAATGGGTGGTAAAGAATAACTTAAACTCTGACTTGGCTTGTACTAGAAACCAGTCACGAGCCTTCTCTGATTCAGTTTCTTTAATCACAAAACAGGAACAATCAATCTGACTTCATAAGCAGGTAAGAAGTAACAAAACAAACAAGCAGGGTGTGGTGGTGCATGTCTATAATCTCAGCACTGGGGGAGGCTGAGGCAGAAGGATCACAAATTTAAGCCCAGCTGTCTCAAAAACAGAAAGAAAAAAAAGCCAACAGAGAGAGAGAGAGACTGAGACAGACAGAGAGGAAGAGGGAGGAAAAGGAAAGGGGATAGAAGAAGAAGACAGAGAGGAAGGAAGGGGCATGTAGCTTAGTATGAAGGCTTGGGGTTCAATCTCCAGTACCACAAAAAATAAAATTAAATTAAACAAAAAAGCAAAACCAGAAACAATTTAGAAATGTTTGTGGTTTATATGTATAGAGATCGAGGTGACCAGGGGAATAGTGAAGTTCCAATCTAAAGTTCAGCTGACCCTAAAGTCCATGCAGAGAAAGACTTGTTTTCTTTAGAACTGAGACAAATGGAAGGAAAAAATCCAGTCTGAGCCCAGGATGAAAGGAATTCACAGAAAAGCAGACAAGACAAAGAATAAACATAGTAAAAAGAAGTGAAATAAAGAGTTCCTGAGAGAGACTTAATACCCTTTGCTTGGGCCAAACTTCTGTGATAAATGTACATGTAACGGAATGTGATTATAAATGCAATGATAACAATACTTATAGTAGAAGCTTAAAGTAAGTTTGGGGGTCAAACATAATGAGTAACTTTTAAGACAGCCCCTTCCTTTCTGACGCTGTTCCCCTGGGCTCTGTTCCTCTGATGCTCTTCTGGGCATCATGTCCTCAGCAGCTCTGCTCCACTACACCCTTCCATCATGATGTCTTTGCCTTGGAGCAGCTGACCACTGACTGGACTGTTGGGAGCTACTGAACCTGGAAACTGAGCACACATGCAGGGCTGCAACATGGCTGGGGCATGGCCAATCCAAGAACAAGGAGACGCCTCTAAGGGCAAGATAAGGCCCCAGCTGAGGACACCTGGCTCCAACCCTAATTAACAAGATAGAAACTGCAGCTGCAGGCATTCACTCCTGCAGTGAAAGTCAACCTGGAGACTTTCTCCTAAGATACTTCTCCTGAATTAACACAGTATGTTACTTGGAGGGATCCTTGAACTCCTCCCAAGATCCTGCTCAGGTTTCCTGCATTTTCCATTTAACCCCTTCCTTGTGTGAAAACTAAATAAATACGGGCCACCCAGAGACATCCTTGTCTCAGCCCCCAGAATCTTGAACTCTGCAGAGGGTTTTGATCCTCCTGGAGCCCTCAAATCACACCACTTGTCTCATTTATTTAAGCCTTTGCCATACATTCACTTGGGAGATTGGAGATCTTGGCCAGGTCTCCGATACTGGATCCCTTGAAACATGAACCAAATAAACTTCTTCTTTAAGTTATGGCTATCAGGTATTGGATCTCAGAGGCAGGAAAGCTACAAGAATCTTTGGTCATGAACCATCTTTTCATTAATTTTAATTACATGATGTGAATATAAAAAGATACGGAATAATGCCTCCTAGTTCTAAAGTTCAAATTATGCTTTAAAAATTCTAAAGTTCAAATTATGCTTTAAAATGTGGAGATACAGTATCTGGGGCTGAGAGATAACAGTACAAGTAGGTATGAGTTTGAAAGTTGACTTTCCTAATCAGTAATTCTGAGAACCAAGGGGTCAAGTCATTTGAACTCTCTCTCTCAAGTCTTGGTTTCTTCTTAGAGTTAAATCTGTCTTAAACGTACATCTTCTAAAAGCAATAGATTACTCAGCAAAATTTGAAGTAACTTTATCCCTTCATTCAGTTCTACCAGGGATTTATTCCTTGGACAGATCTGAATGTGTAGACATATGTAGGCCATTAGACGCAGCACTGCAAGAATAGGAATCCAAAACAATTTAAATTATCTTCAATGGGGGACTTAATTTCATACTAGAACTTGGATATTTTACATATACATACATACATGAACACACACACTATATCTAGATATAATATACTGTAAGAAGTCCAAAGAATGTCATTATGTGCAAATAAAACTTCACTGCTTCACTGTATGGATCCGTGGGGATGAAAAGAGGCATGTGTGTATCTTGTGTGTGGATGTGTGGATATGTGTGAACAGTCATCAGAGTTCTTGTGGTTAGAATTACTGTACTCTTATTTAGAACTTTGGAAAGCTACATACATAAAACATACAGAATCATCATGCCTCAAAGACAAAAAGTAGTATGCCATTGAAAATGTTATCATATAATCATCAGATCCACATGGTAATTCATGTGGAAAGGGTATTCATCAACACAGCATTATCAAATTATGCTAATCAAACTATTTAGAGCACCAGTACATCTCAAGAGCATCAAGTAAATCTCAAAGCCGCTACTTGGAATTGGAAATAGAACCACTCCCTGGCCAGAAAAGTGCCAAGTCAGACGTAAGTGTAAAGTGGAAGAGAATACACAGACCTGTCCCATTGATTATAATAACCACTTAACAAAACCATCACTATCCTCTACAAACAGAGGCCCGACAGAACCTGAAGGGTGGTATCACTGCGTCTCTGCTGGCAGCACACCCTGCATGCTTCCAAAGCATTTTCCCACTCATGATCTCACTCAGGCGATCTCCTAACAGTCCTCAGAAAAAACAGATGTGGCAGGCTTTACCACTCCCTGCTGCAAAAGCAAGCCTGACAGATATTCTCAGGCAGGGATCCTGCCACCTCGACACCGAGGCTGAGGACCCTGCTGAACTACTTTCCA